AAATTCCTTTAGTCTATCTCTTGAGTGACTGAAAACTATGTTGTTCCTCCCTCTCTGGCGTTTTTTCACATATCTGTCAAAAGAGCTAAAGAGAGAGTGCATGAAGTTTGAAATGATGGTTTTTGGGTAAAGGGTGTGGTACCAGCTAAAGATGAACCGGCCATCTAGGACAACAAAGAGTTGTACCAATAAGGTGAAGATGTCCTAAATGTCGTATCATGATGCCTACTAAAACCAATGATGAGAAAATTAGATGTCCAGATTATGTTCAAGTGAAATGAGCTAGTATATCCTGGCAAAAAAGATCTCCATGAATAGAAATCCTCTGGTGGGAGTTCGTAGTGCAAGTACTCTAACTACCGCCTAATCTAGTACTAACCACAAAAGAACTAGCATGTAAAGTCTAGAAGCATATGGTTTTGTTCCGACGTTCCTATTTTGAAAACCGGTTTGAAAACTTTTTTATGAAAGATCTTTTATGAAACACAAACTCAAAACAAACCAAATTTAATTAGTAAAGGATAAACATCCTCCCCCAGACTTAAATCACACTGCCCCCAGTGTGGGAAATCTTTGAGAGGATGGGATAATGATGGATTGAAATTTTGAATGTTTAGATGTACTTACTTGGCGATGTTCCGCAGCTCTTGATGAGTTTTCTGGTTTGTGATTTCTGTTCACCTTTTATTCATTCTTCGCTTAAAAACCTGAAATTTTGAGAAAACAAAAATGAAGCAGCAAAAATAGAAAAGGCAAATCAAAGGGAATAAGTGAAATACCAAGCGGATTGCCTCCCACTAAGCGCTTGCTTAAAGTCATTAGCTTGACTTTGATGGTGCTTTAGCCTGGTGGGTCTGTCACGAGCATTTCTTCTCTTCCTTCTTCTTCTGCAAGGTACGGTTTGACACGCTGTCCATTAACGACAAATGTATCTCCCTTTTTGCCCCAAGGAATGAGTGCTCCATACGGTTTGACTTCCTTTACTGTGAAAGGTCCAGACCATCTTGATCGTAGCTTTACTGGAAAAAGCTTAAGGCGAGAATTGAAAAGAATAACCCTGTCATTCGGAGCAAAGGATCGATGTATGATCCTTTTGTCGTGATATGCCTTCATCTTCTCCTTGTATATCTTGGAATTTTCGTAGGCATTGTGGTGGATCTCTTCTAACTCGTGCATTTGAAGAATTCTTCTTTCTCTAGCTGCCTTAAAGTTCATGTTCATCTCCTTAATAGTCCATTGTGCATTGTATTCAAGCTCCACAGGAAGGTGACATGCTTTTCCATAAACAAGATTGAACGGTGTGGTCCCTAAAGGAGTTTTGTATGCTGTCCGATAGGCCCAAAGTGCATTGTCGAGTTTTTCAGACCAATACTTGCGATTTATGCCGGTTGTCTTTTGTAAAATCGATTTGATCTCTCTGCTAGAGATTTCCACTTGTCCACTTGGTTGAGGGTGATATGGAGATGCAGCTTTATGCGTGACTCCATTCTTTTTGAGCAGATTTTCGAAGACTTTGTTGATGAAATGGGATCCTCCATCGCTTATCACAATTTGAAGAATTCCAAAGCGAGGGAAGATGATTAACTTAAACAGCTTTATAACCACTTTTGCATCATTAGTAGGGCTGGCATTTGCTTCTACCCATTTAGAGACATAGTCTACCGCTACTAAGATGTATTGGTTTCCGAAAAAAGTTGGGAAAGGTCCCATGAAATCAATTCCCTATACATCAAAGATTTCAACTTCTAGAATGAAGTTTTGAGGCATCTCATTCCTCTTACTGATGTTGCCTATTCGTTGGCATGAATCACAGCGTGAGATGTAGGTGTGAATATCTTTGAACATAGTAGGCCACCAAAATCCTGCTTGAAGGACTTTGGAAACTGTTTTGTAGGTTGGAAAATGTTCTGCATATGCTGAACTATGGCACCCAAACGGTATTCCCTCTATTTCTTCTTCGGCGACACACCTTCTGAATAAACCATCCACATATCTCCTACACAGAAAAGGTTAATCCCAGAAATAGTGCCGGATTTCTCTTAAGAATTTCTTCCTTTTATAGCCAATGAATTGTGGAGGTTCAATGTCTGAAGCTAAGTAATTTGCAATATGCCTAAATCATTGGGTGTCAAAAGCATCTGATCGCCATATAGGAGGTTGGGATGACTTTTCTTCCACGGTAATAAGGTATAGTCTCCATAGCGTAGACATTTTCTTCTGGCAAACTATCATTCAAAGGGAGTTTCTCTTCTACTCGAATTCTAGAAAGATGATCTGCTATTCCATTATGCTCCTTACCGATCTCGGAATCAATACCAAACTCTTGCAGCAGGAGTATCTATCTGATCAGCCTTGGTTTGACATCTTTCTTAGACATGAGATACTTGATTGCAGCATGGTCAGTATGGACAATGACCTTAGACCCGACAAGATAAGATCGAAACTTCTCAAATGCAAAAACGACAGCTAAAAGCTCATTCTCCGTAGTCCCGTGATGACATTGAGCTTCATCCAGAGTTCTACTCGCATAGTAGATTGCGTGTAGTTTCTTTTCTTTCCGCTGACCAAGCACAGCTCTAACAGCAAAATCACTTGCATCACACATGATTTCAAATGGTTGTTCCCAATCAAGTGGTTGCACAACTGGAGCGGAAACAAGGGCATTTTTGATCTTATGAAATGCTGCCAAGCACTCATCATCGAATTCGAAGTTTGTTTCCTTGCACAGCAGACGTGTGAGAGGTCTAGCAATTTCAGAGAAGTCTTTTATGAATCGCCTATAAAATCCGGCATGTCCCAAGAAACTTTGGATTCCTTTCACATTAGTTGGAGGTTGCAGGCTAGTCATGACTTCAATCTTTGCTTTATCAACTTCAATATATTTCCCAGATATTTTATGTCCAAGCACAATTCCTTCGCGGACCATGAAGTGACTTTTTTCCCAGAGTTCAGGACAAGATGTTTGTCTTCACAGCGCTGCAAAACTTTTCCTAAGTTTGCCAAGCATTTGTCGAAAGAGGATCCATAGACAGAGAAATTATCCACGAAGACTTCCATGAAATCTTCGATGAAATCAGTGAAAATAGATATCATGCACCGCTGAAAGGTTGCAGGTGCATTACACAATCTGAAAGGCATTCGCCAGTAAGAAAAAGTTCTGTAAGGACCCGGGAATGTCGTCTTTTCTTGATCTTCTGGTTTAATAGGAATTTGGGAAAATTTGGAATAACCATCTAGAAAGCAGTAGTATTCGTGATTTTCTAGTCTTTCTAGCATTTGATCAATGAAAGGCAAAGGAAAATGATCTTTCCAAGTTGCAGCATTCAGTTTTTGGTAATCATTGCACATTCGATCCCCCGTCACTGTTCTTGTAGCGATCATTTCATCCTTGTCATTTTTGATAACAGTTACTCCTCCCTTCTTTGGGAAAACATGCACATTACTAACCCAAGTGTTGTCCGAGATAGGGAATATGATTCCTGCTTCCAAAATTTTCATGATCTCCTTCTTTACTACTTCCATAAGGTTCGGATTCAATATCCTTTGGCTTTCAATCGAATTCTTGGAATTGTCCTCAAGATTTATCTTATGCATACAGAGGTCTGGGGAGATTCTTTGTATGTCATCAAGAGAATAACCTATGGCTTTCCTGTGCTTTCTCAACTCATTTAGCAGCTTAGCTGTTTCAGTTCTACTTACACCAGAATTTATGATGACAGGGTAAGTTGAATTTGGTCCAAGAAAAGCATACTTGAGTCCATCAGGAAGAGGTTTAAGCTCGACTTTTGGGGCTTTGAGCTCGCTCCATGGGTCGTTTATAGCCGCCAATGTATCTTTTGGAGGAGTAGGGATGTGAGTTTCCTCATTCAGGTCGAGATAGTTCACAAGTTTCGCATAATCCTCAGCTTTATCAAGCATCTGCGCACACCCCTTTGAAACTTCTTCGAGCAGGTTGCGATCATCATTTGTGGTGGTGAGGATGATTTTTAAAGGGTCGTCAAGAATGATTTCTTCATAAACTTTCTCATTTATCTCATCAAGCTCATCAATCCAGTAAAGTCTGCCATCTAAAGTGGGTTTCCCAAGACTTTTGTTCATATCAAACTGCATAGTCAGACTCCCAAGATGGAGATCTATCTTTCCTTCCTGAACATTTATTATTGCCCCTGCATTGATAAGAAAGGTCTACCGAGTATGAGCGGATCCTTTGGTTCCCTTTCTAATTCAGGCACTACGAAATCAGTCGAAATGCAGTTTTCTCCTATCATGACTGATACATAAATCAAAACTCCTTCTGGTTGTCTAACTGATCGATTGGCAAGAATCAGCGAGATTTTTGTGGGCTGAAAAGTATGATATCCTGTACGTTTTGCAACTGAGAGCGGCATCATGTTGATTCTTGATCCCAAATCACATAAAGAACGTTCAAAAGTCAAATTCCTGATTGTGCAGGCTTTCTTCTCTTTTTAGGTTCACTCTATCAAGAACCCTAATTCCCCAAATCGATTTGGGGATTCTTACTTTATGATTTTTTTTTATCGGGTCGTGATATAATAACATTTTGTTTTTGTGTTGGATTCTATTTTTTTCTCGTAACAATTGTCTTTTTTTTAAATAATTTTTAATGAATAAAATATTCAGCACATTTTAATTAACTGAACAGAGTTTACTGTTCGGTTAATGGAGTTAACTGTTCCGTCTGAAATTCTGGTGATCAGACGTTGGAGCTTAATTTCGAGATTTAATGTGTAAATTTTTCTAATTTCAGGTTTAAAATGTTAGTCGCTCAATCGCAAAGTTTAACGTGTTAGTGAATTTAACTTTGAGAATTTAAAATGTGATTTTTCTAATTAATAGTATACGCGTGATCCCAGACATAGTTTTGATCGTCTATATTGTTGGGTCTTTTATGGGCCTCTTATACCAACACTTTGCCCTTGGGTTGTTACGACGAGTATATATATAGAGTATAAATATTTGCGTCTACACGTAGGCAGCCACTTAATTTGGAGAACTTGCATTGACGAAAAGAAAAAAATTTGGAGAACTTGCAAATTCTCAAAAACCTAATTACTCGGACAAAGTGATTCAATGGCGAAACTCAAGGTTGCTGGGACATGGGGAGGCATAATAGAAGTCGAACTCGAGAACTGGACTGTAACCATGTTGAGAGACGAAGTAGCCAAGCGATCGGGCCTCGATCCTGAATCAATCAAACTAATTTTCGCCGGAAAAATCCTCAAAGACCATGGCGATGCTACTCAGACGCTTGCTCAATTGGGTATTAAGGACAATTCGAAGATCCTCTCCAGTCGCGGTGCTGCACCAGAAGAAGGCAAGTCTATCATGGAGGAGGAAGAAAGGTCAAGACGTCTCTCTCGTGTCAAGTGAGTCTAAATTTCTCAAAATTGCTTAGTGTGTGAACCTTGATCCGTATGTTTTGATAATTTCTGATCGTATTGTTGTGTTCAGGGATAGATTTTCATGATGATGTGTGTGTCTTTGGTTTCTTTGTTTAAAGTGAAAATTTGTGCCGTCTTTCTAATTTCTCAATTGCCTAGTGTGTGATTGTGTGTGAGAACCGAAATTTTTGAATTTCGATTCATAGATTATAATCATTTCTAATCGTATTGTTGTCTTTATGGATAGAGTATCATTCATGATCATCTGTTTGTCTTTGGTTTCTTGGTTTAAAAGTGAGTCTTTGTGCCGTCATTCTTGTTTCTCAGTTGCTTAGTTTGTGATTGTTTGCAAGAACGAAAATTTTTTCCAATTGACTTCAAGAATCTGTGATCATATTGTTGTCTCACATTGTCATCTGTTTGTCTTTTTTTTTTTTCTGGTTTAAAGTTAGTCTTTGTGCCGTCTTTCTAATTTCTCAGTTTTTAGTGTGTAATAGTTTGGAAGAACCGAAATTTTGCGAATTCGACTCATTGACTTCAATAATTTTTGATCGTAGTGTTATGGATTGGTCAAGTGAGTCTTTGTGCCATCTTTTTGATTCTTAATTGCTTAGTGTGATTGTTGCAAGAACTGATTTTGCGAATTCTGATTCATAGACTAAAAATTGTGATTGTATTGTTTTCTTTATGGATAGAATTTCATGATCACCTGTGTCTTTCTATTTTCTCCAAATACTTACTGTGTGATTGATTGCGAAAACTGAAATTTAAGAATTTCGATTCATAGACTTTGGATTAAATTTCACTATCATAAATAGAGTTATAGTAATTTTTTTCAAAAAATTGACCATGGTTAGTGACTGTCTATGTGAATGTTGTAGAGCTGCAGCTACAGCGTTGTCCAAGAGACACGCTGATGGTTCGTTGCCGATCGAAGACTATAACATAGAGCTGGAAGATCAGGGAGGTCATAGAGTAAATTTTGGAACAGAGACTGATCAGAGGTATTGCTGCTCAATCAGGTTAGAAAACGAAACTGCTACCTGTAACTTCGATGCTAACGAAGTTCCTCTTTTTGTTTTGTTTTGTTCCACAGTGCAGCAATGATGGGTCTTATGCTACATACTAAGGGAAAAAGTCTAATAGAAAAGGAAATGTATTCTGATGCAATAGAAGTTCTTGCCATGGCAGAGGTAAGTTGCTACTGCTGGGAATCAAGTTTTTCTTTCCACATTGTATATCTTTTTTTGCGGTAAGTATGATTCTATTGTGGGAGTGGTTCTGCCACAGTTTCCTAATTTGTTTGCGTGTTTCGTAGGAATCGTTCTTGGTCTGTGATCCCAAGATTCTCGAGGTCCTTTCTCTGTCCTTTTAAATAAATTTCATTATTTTACTTTCTGATTTTCATCAGTGGGTATTATTTGTTTTGATCTTTATCTAATCTCTAGTTTCAGCATATACCCTCTTACGTAACTTGTTTATAAACTAATAGCTGCATTTTGGCTGTAAAATTTTTTCTTATACAGTTTGTTGACAACATCCCTATAATGGAAATCGACATTGTATGGTGCTATTTCTTGCTCCGGGACCTCAAATGCCTGTCAGATGCTGGCGTCCGCCTTGAAAAAGCAAGGAAAGGACTTGAGCGTGCTCATGGGAAGGACCTTTCTCGTGTGAGACTCCTCCAAGCTGGTCAATGTCCAGAATTGGCACTGTGAGTTCAGATTCATTATATTTGTTATTTTCTACAGAGTAACCTTTTTGTTAAATATTTTGTGTTTCTACTGGCTAGATATGTGAGACTGGAGTTACTAGAAGGCGTGGTTGCATATCACACTGGTCAAAATGATAAAGCCTTGAATGCACTGAAGTCCGCTCATGCAAAATTGTTGCAGGTCAGTGAGTTGTTCTGTAATATAAATTCACTCTTAATGATATTCAATTTTTAATAGAGTTAATGTTCTTTGGCAACGTGATGCAGCTACAAATACCCGATGAAACGCTGTCCTTAGTTATGGGTATGGGTTTCCAGGAGAAGGATGCTAAGAGAGCTTTGCGACTGAACAATCAGGATATCGCGAGTTCTGTTGATTTCCTCATTGAAGAGAGGGCCAAAAGAGTTCAAAAGCTGAAGGATAATTACCAGAGACAAAAAGAGCTACTGTATGTTTTTACTATCGAAATTGTACTAATTACGATATTTACAGTCATTAGACTTTATGATGTTCTAAATAAGCAAACTGGAGCTGATATTTCAGTGAGCAGAAGACGTATGGAGTGACACCCATGAAGAAAGCTGTTGATATGCAGATGCTTGACAGGCTCGTCTCGATTGGGTAAGCAATACACTGTAAATAGATTTGCTCTTGTTATCCTGCTACTATATAGATTTGTTAAGAAAATATAGTTAATTAATTCTTTTCAAACTCAGAATAAAAATTACGAAAAAGGGGGTGAAAAGGAAAATAAAAGATCTGCGAGAGTTCTGACCTTTTCGAAGTTTGTTAGAAAGCCCTCAAGCTCCCTATATATTAGCAAGGCGTAACTATGGCCTTCATGGTTTTTCAATGCTTTATTTGGATATCTGGATTTGAAACGTTTCAGATATGCGAGGGATCTTGCTGCTGAATCCCTCCGGAGAAATGAGAACGATTTTCAGAAAGCTCTTGATGGACTTACGAATCCAGAAGTTAATTCCTCGATACAGGTTTACATTGAATCTAGGAAAAGAAAACGACAGGAAAAACTAGTAGGCATAACAGTCGACGAACTTGTTTCTATGGGCTTTGAACGAGGACAAGGTAATTTTCCCATCTGGATTGTTTCTTCAGTTGGCGTATATTGTCAAAGTCAATGGTATAGAATTGACGAAATGTTGTTACATCTCTATTTGGCACTACAGCAACCTCTGCTTTGGAGGCAGGTGGCGACCGAGAAGATATCATTCAAAGGCTACTATCTTTACAAAAAGCAAACCCAGGAACTGCTACTCTTACAGGCAATGGCGGTGCAGCGAGTAGTACAAACAATGGGGCTGGAGAAAGCATATCAAATGAAATTGATGGTGGGGCAGAGCAGGACGCTGAGATGAATGGTGAAACAACGGATGAGATTGAAAACCGAGGAAGCACATCCGGTGAAAGTGATGGTGAGGAAGAGCGGGACGCTGAGATAGAACATGAAATAGCAAATGAGATTGCGAAGGTTGATGCATTGTCTGCTTATGATATCAATCTTGATAGAGAAATTGAAGCTATAAATGAGTACCTGGGCATGTTAGATGCATCTCAGACTTCTGGTTGAAGAGCTGTTCCCAGCAAGAGAAGCTAAGATTCAGAAAGTTGTAGATAAACGAATAATAATACTCATCAGAGTTATTGCATGGCCAATATGGGTTGGTATGGTACCTTAATTAGTTATTTGCTATGCAGAAACTGATTTACTAGAGTGGATTCTTATAACCATAGTATGTAGTTGCTCTTTGGGTAAAACTTTTAACAAATGTTCGGTCATATGGATTTACTTAACATATTTTTTTTTGTCAACCAAATTAATTAACTGTACGGTATGGTTATCTATGCCTAAAATTCAAGGTGCGTCTCTAATAAGTCAGGCCGACAAGTTTATTTTCAACGTAAAGATTTCATGAGTTTATAACATACGATCAAAGCATTTTCTCCAAAGATCAGTCGGATGTGGACAGTTATTTCTTTATATTAGAAATTGTGCTAGACTATGGCCTCTATTCGTTTGTCAGTTGCTGATGATGGCGATCAGAGATGTTCTTACTGTTGTTTGTTCTTACTGTTGCTTGGATTACTAGAAAACGCAGTCATCAGAAATTTTGATCGCTAATCGCTGTGATTTGGTAGGATTACCTTTATCTATTATAGAAAAGCTAAGGTAAAAATTATTGTTTTAAAATATGAAGTTTTTGCTAAAAATAACATAAAACTTGACTTTGAATACAAAAGTAGATCCCTGAAAAAACATTTGACAGAAATAACATAAAGGAATAGTAAAAAAACCATTTAATCATGTATGAGTAAACAAAAAACGGATGTCCTAATTACCGTTTACATCCTGACGAAGTCTATTAAAGAGAGAAAGAAGTCTAATAGTAGACTTCTTTTATCGAAATGAAGTCTACTAAGTAATTAAATCTGGAAATTTAATTTTAAAATTTAGAAAAAATTATTTTGGTATCAAATTTATATTCATAAATTCCGTAATTGTAACCCAAATGTACAAAAATTATTTTTTCGTATTGCTAAATGGAAATTTATGTTTTTAAATTAAGTAGAAGTAAATTTATTATTTAGGTTTTAAAAATTGTAGACTTCTATATTGAAATCTGCTAAACCGAATAAATTAACCTAACCGAAATTTAAACCAAAATTAAATCGGGAATAACTTCCCTTAACCAAGAAAAACTGCCCGTAACCGGGTAAATTTACCTAGACCCCGTAAAATTACTAACCCTAACAAAAAAAAAACTTATCCGAACCGAACGAAATTACCAGACTATATAAAGGAATTTTACAGATCCCGTAAAAAAAACCGTCGAAAGTTCGTGTTAAAAAAAAAGTCGAAGGCGATTTCCTGCCTCAAAACGGTTAGTAGATGTCCTTCCAAAGATATATACTTAGTTATTCCTCTATTTCTTCTATCTTCCTGTAATTTTGTCCGTCAGGTTTGAGTACTTAGGTTTTTTTTCCCAGATCTGGTTGCATTTTCTCGACGCCGGCTTCATCTAATCACGGCTGTAAACACTATAAAATTTGTAGATTCCATTTGGATGATTGGTTTTAGTAGACTTCATATACAGTATTTATCATGTATTGATTGCTTTGGTTGGGTTCAGTAGATTACATATGCAGTATTTATGATGTTTTGATTGCTTCATGTGGCTTCCGTAGACTTCATATACTGTTTTTTTGATGTTTAGATTGCTTCGGTTGGCTTCAGTAGACTTCTCGACTCGGATTGTACTTAGAATGTGAAAGTAGATTTCCTTTGGCAAAAGTAGACTCTCTTTGGCAAAAGTAGACTTCCTTTGGCAATAGTAGACTTCATTTTGCAAAAAAGTAGACTTCATTTTGTAAAAGTAGACTTCATGTTGCAAAAATAGACTTCATTTTGTAAAAGTAGACTTCATTTTGAAAAAGTAGACTTCATTTGAAAAAGTAGACTTCATTTTGAAAAAGTAGACTTCATTTTGAAAAAGTAGACTTCATTGTATCAAAAAGTAGACTTCATTTTGTAAAAGTAGACTTCATTCGTGTATAGTTTCAAACCGTTAGTTATAACTAGTTTTTCTCATTAGAGCTTTGTTACCGTTGATGCAGAAATCTGTGTTAGATAATGGTGGCCTCTGAATTCCCTAGAAGATTGTACACCAAAGGCGGTGAGCCAGCCTCGGATAAAAGCATCGGCTATTATGCTGATGATTATAGGCTGGTACCTGCACTAAAGTCAGCTCTACAAGAGGATGAATGGGAAGAGATTTATGAGTCACCGTTGGGTGTCTTTTTAAAGTTCCACGACTTGGATTTTGGTTGGGCTTCTAGGCTGGTGCCCCAGATGGTGACCTTTCAGATAGTTTGCAAGCAGAGGTACGAGATATGGAGCCTGATTGGTACCACTCCAGTTTGGTTTTCATTGCATGAGTTTGAGGAGATCACCGGACTCAACTGCGGGTACGTGGATGACTTGGCTGTAACTGATCTTGAGCTTTCCGATGACATGCGTGCATTTCCGGAGCTAATGGGGGTCGATGTCGAGTCGGGCCCAAGCACTATCGAATTTATTGAAGTCTGTTCCAACTGCTCATCATGGTCTCAGGATGATAGGCTGCGGTTGGGATATCTTGGGATCTACGCTGGTTTCATAGTGGCAACGAGACCAAGCTTATCCACAAATGTCAACCATGCCAGACTAGTGATGGATCTCGAAGGTTTTAAGGACTTCCCATGGGGAAGAATTGCTTTTCAGCATCTGATCAAGTCTGTTAAGGAGAAAGATCTCAGCAAAAACATTCATATAGAAGGATTTGTGCAAGCTCTTCAAGTGTGGGTGTACTATGCTCTGCCGGATTTTGTTGCTGAATTTGGCGAACCATTGCCAAATGATCCTACACCTCTTATGCTGGCTTACAAAGGATCAAGAGGACGAAAGAACGTCAAAGCCAACATGTTAAAACAGGTACTGTATTAGTGTAGTCATTCTCATTTAGAAGTCTTGTTCCGTAGTAGACTTCTATGTAGTAATGAATTACAAAGTAGACTTCAGGAGTAGACTTCATGTGTAGACTTCTATATAAAATCTTGATAGTGGGAGACTTCAGTTGTAGACTTCAGTAGTAGACTTCAATGGTAGACTTCATACGTAGTTTTTCCAGGTTTAATATGGCTAGTAATTCATTTACTTATTGTGTTTTTCCAGGCTTGCATACAGTGCTGCGTGGCTAAGGACTTGGCGAATATGTTTCCAGTTTGGGATGATGAGGAACAGGATCCGGATATTGTCAAGATTGTCAATGCAATCCATGACCCCCATTTCAAGTTCTCAAAAAACCACTGGCCTTTGAAGGTGTTCTGGGTGCACAAATCGTCAAGGCAGAAGCAGGAAAGAGGAGCCTTCCCTCAGATGAATCAAGTCACAAGAGAACCTGCACAGCCTCTGCCTCTGCCGCCTCTTTCGTTGGTGATGAAGGGGTCGGAGTTGTCGTTACTATGAAAGCGCACTTCGACCAATGCTTCAAAAGATTTTCAACCAAGATGCTGAATGGTCTTGGTAGCTGTGAAAAGCAGATCAAACTTCTCACTGACAAGGTTGAATCTGTAGAGCGCGCGGTAGAGGAGTTGACTACAGGGTCGGCGAAGCACACTGAGGAAAAGGTTAAGGACAATGTTCAGCCAACCCAGAAGCAGGTCACTGGATCCAAGAAGCATGAAGGGGTTAGTACCAAAAACCCTCCACCTATACGAAAACATTTCATGCGAACAAGATCATCAAAAGATAGGAACACTTAATAGTTAATACTAATGTCATTTGAATTCGAACATGTTTAATAGTGCTATGTACCATGTGAGATTATTTACTTATGCTTTAAAAACTAGTTGTTTACAATTTTCAGACTATGATGAAACATGTTACTAAATTATAGCAATGGTGTTGTCATTTGTATATTCATGCCTGTTTGTGACAATAAACTGCAGAGTAATTCAGAGAAAGAAGATGCTCTGATGAAAGATAATGTCAACGTTGGTGCGAGTGAGAGTGTTAACGCCCCCGGGGATGCAAAAGGAAAGAAGGCTGCCATGAAGGAAGAAGAGGCCCCTGAGCCTAGCTTTTGTGAAATTGACCCGAAGACATGTGATGTTGACTTCGACACAGTTGCACTAGCCAAAAATGCCAAAGCCAGAGCAGCGGCTCAGATAGTTCCCCAAGAACCGAGTGCCAGAAACCGACAGCTGGCTGCGACACAGAAGAGTCCTTTCTTATGAAATAGCACCGCAAAGGCGATCATTCCAACGTCGGCATCTCACTCCGTCCGTGTCCGTGGATATGATCCTTTCGATCAAACCGGTGTTAGGGCGAAGCATACCACTCTAATGAACTTTGTGAAAGCAAACCCGTAAGTAGACTTCTATACTTATGTAAGTAGACTTCCTCATATTATTATTTTCCTGTCTGACTTTTTCACTTATACAGTGCCTATCCAAGACGTCCAAAAAACTCTTTGATCGACTGGTATTACATTCTCCGAACACCAAAGAAATGGCTAGCTGATACGGTTAGTGTTTTAGTATTTCATATTAGACTTCATAGATAGACTTCATACGTAGACCTAATATGTAGACTTCTATAGTAGACTTTATTTTCAGACTTCACTCATGTCTTATTTTCATCAATGTGCAGCACATGGAAGCTTATATTAACGTACTCAGACTGCGGTTATCCAAGCATCCCTTGTATCCGACCGGATTTGCTTCCTCAACTCCATGTTTGCTACGGTTTGGAGGCGTGACTACAATGACTTCAAAAACTCTGAGCCGAATGAAGATGGTTCTGGCAAACTTCTACCACATGGAGCGTATTCGTACTACACTGGCGAATTACCTATCTACTGCCAGACTAAAACGACGTGGGCCTATGAAGTCGACCATTTGTACTCAATGTTGCACATCAGAGGGGATCATTGGGTAGCTATCTGGGTTTCATTTGTGACGAGGCATATCACGATATGGGATAGTCATGCGGGAACCAAACATGCATCTGACGCCCAAATTGACGAAGCTGTGGAGCCTCTTGCTGTTATGATACCCTACCTTCTTCAGACATGAGCACCTGATAAAGACAAGTGGAGATTCCCCTACACGCCGTTCACCCATTCGCGAGTACCAGGTACGGAGATACCTCAAAACATTCAGAGT